CATGGGAATGTGGCCTAATATGCTAATGAGTGGTGCAATCAGGGGTGTGGCCTAATATACTAATGGGTTTCTGCTGCTGTGTGTGGACTATTATGCTAATGAGTTCCTGCTGGGCTTTTTCTACAAAAAAAGCCCTGCTAGAATGTGTGCTGTTTATAAACAGCAGCATGAAGACTCCAATTTGGATTGGGACGGAGGTCCTGTGCCTGAGTCGGAGGGGGTTGGGGGTAGGGATCCCACTACACTTACCACCCCTTGTGCCTCCTTCTCGCCTACAGGTCCACGATCACCATGTGGAACCACCATGTATCTCCATCTCCCTCGGACTCACTGCTGCTGTCCTTGCCTCCCCCATCTTCTCTTCCCCATATGTGTGTTAGCACTACTCACCAACCACATGCCTTTCCTTTTCCTGACGGACCTACTGTCACCCAGCAGCAGCTGCCCATGGGTACTTATGACCAATGCTCCCTCTAAGCTGTGGAGTCTTGTGAGCAAAAATTCCTCTTTGTGAGCTACTGGCATTAACTTTGTGAGCGAGCGGTTTGGCTACTGCATAAATTAGTTCACTCTGGAGCCCTCCTTCCTGAGCTGAGACAAAAATATGTGAGCTGGAGGCTAAAAAGCTGTGAGCTGGCTCACACTAACTCAGCTTAGGGGGAACACTGCTTATGAACATTGAGCATGGGGCTTGCCTGGCACCCCCACCAGCCACAAGGTTCACAGCATCCCTCGCCAAGTACCAGTTGTCCTAAACAATCAGGGTTGTTGTGAGGATAAAATGAAGGAGAAACACGTATGCTGCCCTGAGCTCCTAACTTACTTGAATGAGCTTCCGGATGAGATCAGGGCCCTGACCTTTCGCAGTTCCGCAGGGCCGCTAAAATGGAGCTCTTTTGCAGGGCATTTAGGTAGGAGCCATGTTATCATCTATGCTCTTGTGCCAATTCTATTTCCAGCCTAAGCCCGCCGATAGTGGATGCACCGCTGAATGCACTTTACAACCGTTATACCACCATCGTCATGTTAATGGTTTTAACAACTTTTGTGTATTTTATATTGATATTTATATTGTTGTGTTCTTTATTGTTTCTTAGCGGGGAGGGGAGGGTAAAAATCAAATAAATAAATAAATAGTGCAGGAAGTGAACAGGTTGCCTCTTTTTCCCAACCTCAAAACAAACTGTTGTTTGCTTCCTTAAGGGAAACAAAGAGGTAACATTCAGAGAGCCTGGCTGTTCCCCCACTGAAGCAAATAATATCTCGGGGAGGGTGCTGTTTGAAGTCAGGAAACTGGGAACGCTTGGGACTCTTTTCATAAAGATAAGCATTGACAAAGTCCTGGATCTTTCATTGTCTTGTCTGGTTTGGTCTCAAGCCTACAGACATGGGATGAAAAATTTCAGATTCACTCAGGATCAGTGTTCCCTCTAAGCTCAGTCAGTGTGAGCTAGCTCACAGTTTTTTAGCCTCCAGCTCACACATTTTTGTCTTAGCTCAGGAAGGAGGGCTCCAAAGCAAACTGATTTATGCAGTCGCCAAGTCACTCGCTCAGAACTCTAATGCCCGTTGCTCACAAAGTTGAATTTTTGCTCACAAGAATCCGCAGCTTAGAGGGAACATTGCTCAGGATCCTTTTTAAAATTTATGTTGCAAGGATAATCCAAAGAAAACCGCCTCAGCCTTTCGTCGGAATTTCTATATCACCGGAGACAGAGGGCGGATGGACGAAGACGGGTATCTGTGGTTTGTTGCAAGAGCTGACGACGTTATCATCTCCTCCGGGTTTGTACATTTCAGAGCAAAAAAACCCACACACAAATGTATTCCCTTGTACAACCAGATCGATCTAGCCATGCTGATGCACGGTCTGTGCTGAATCACAGCGATGCACCTTATTTGGGACTGTCTAAAGTGTGTCAGCTGTCTTTTTGCTGGAATGAGCCAATCTAAACACCTCACATTTTCCTGAGCTCTGTTTCCCAGATCAGTTTAAAGTGCTGGTTCTTACCTTTCATGCAGGGCTCTTTTTGTAGAAAAAGCCCAGCAGGAACTCATTAGCATAACAGGCCACACCCAACAGCAGGAACTCATTAGCATATTGGGCCACACCCCTGACAGCACAGCTCATTAGCACATTAGGCCACACCCACATGTTACCAGAAGTGTGCTCATCCAGCCACACCCACCTTTTGCTTGTTATTCTGTTTACCTTGTTTGTTGTCAAAACCCAGGGCCTTTTTTTGTTGCAGGAACTCCTTTGCATGTTAGGCCACACACCCCTAATGTAGCCAATCCTAATGAGTTCCTGCTGTTGGGTGTGGCCTATTATGCTAATGAGTTCCTGCTGGGCGTGGCCAACTTGGGAGCCAGTCGGAACCCCGTTCCTGTGCGTTCCTGCCCCAAAATAGCCCTGCTTTCATGGCTTGGGCCTTTTTATTTTTTGCTGTGCACAGCTGACTTACGGTGACCCCGCAGGGTTTTCAAGGCAAGAGACAAACAGGTATTTTGCCACTGCCTGCCTATGCAAAGCAACCCTGGGCTTCCTTCGTGGTCTCCCATCCAAGTACTAACTAGGGCCCACACTGCTTAGCATCTGTGATCTGCCAAGATCAGGCTAGCCTGGGCCGTCCAGGTGAGAGCAGGCCTTACTTCAAGGACCCTTAAAGGACTGTTGCTACTTCTGTGGCATGTACATTTTGCTCAACTACTTCTGCTGACTGTGCCATCTCTCAGCGCTGTAAGATCAGCCATTGCTCATTTTTCTGTGGTCTGAAACAGTCTTTCAGAAGAGGATGAGGAAGTCCTTTCCTGCTGGCCTTTAGAAACCAGCGCTGCTTAAGAGAGCTATTTGCTGAATGCATTCGGATACCGAGCAGAACATCCAAGCCTGTTTTGTTTGTTCAGTACTTTTCTAGATATAGATTTTGCTTTCGGTTTTTATGCACTATTTTATTACTGTAAGGTCACTTGCAAGCCCCTTCCAGATATTTTAGTAAACAAGTATGTTCCAAAACAGAGATAACCCCCAACTTGAAGAAGAACACAAACAATACATACTTTTAAAACAAGAATGTGCCTACTTCTCCTCCTAGGTATCGTATTGGGCCCTTTGAGGTAGAAAACGCGTTAATCGAACACCCAGCTGTGGTCGAGTCTGCCGTGGTCAGCAGCCCAGATCCTACCAGAGGGGAGGTAAGGAGGCACTTAAACCCTAACTCCTCACATTTAAGAACTGTGATTTCATGAGGGCAAACCATTCCCCATCTAACTTCTTTTACAATCCTTTTATCTACCTTCTTGGTTCTTTGCTTTTTGCTGTGCAGTTCATAGGTTCATCTGTATTGTGTATACGCGTCATATAGATTTTAAACATAATTGACATAGTATTTACACTAGGAATACTTTTGATTTTTGTAGCCCTGCCGTTTTAATGTAAAAATCGCCTCTTTTGATGTCGTTTCTGCTTGTTGGTCATTATTTTGGTGTATAAACATGTATAGCAATATAAATGGTGTTAACAATGGTGTAAAAATGCCTTGAAATTACAAGACTCTGGAAAGCCAGAAGAAAAACAGGTCAGGACAAAAAGATTCACAGTGATAAAGGGGGAAAGGCCTACTCACACATTTTTGATTTATATACACAATGGACATAATTTATAATGTACACCCCAAAGGGGACTTGGTTGGTGCAAGAAATGTCTTCCTTTGCCAGCTTCCAACCATGCTTAGAATCATGCAGTGCAGTATTTCCAGCTTACAAAAGGATGTTAAGACAGTCTGAGCAGGGCATCCATATACTAAAGCTGTTACAGGCATAGACCCTAATTATTCTTTTCCCCCAGCTGCTCCAAGAACTTTAAGCCAGATTCTTAACGGGGCAGTCTACAAATTTGGGGGGGGGGGGTGTTCAGAACTTTTGTAAGTTAATGCAGAGGATTTTAGGCAGCCCGTTCTCCCCACTTGCAACGGCTTCTGGCAGCCATAGGAAAGAGGTTTTTTTATATTGCTCAGCTCACCTTGAGGATAAAATCTCAAATCTGTCCTCCATGCCCTTAAAATGTAACCCACAGAAAACAGGAAGCAATCCTAACTTTAGGAATCTGACTATCAGCCATCAGGATGTTGCCTGATCTCTGTGGGTTATATGCGTGTATCATAAATAGACCTGAATGAATAAAGGTTGCCTTGCCTAGAGTGCTGTTTTTGATTAACTGGAGGTCACAACCCAACTTTTCTGTCTAGGTGGTGAAAGCTTTTGTGGTCTTGTCTCCTTCCTTTGCATCCCATGATCTGGAGAAATTAACCCTTGAGCTTCAAGACCATGTCAAGAAAATTACAGCTCCCTACAAGTATCCCCGAAAAGTAAGGCGTATATTAAAGCTATATGAAATGGGAAGCGTATCTAGGAAAAGTGCATTAACACTAAGGAAATCACCAAAATTTGAAGAGTTTCCATTCAGAATCTCCAGCTTTTGATATGGGTTTCAGTTTCTCCAGTTTTTTTTTTTTTTTTTACTGCAGTTATCTTTTCGTCCACAACTGTAACATAATACCATAGACTCCTGTTAAAACTGACACTGTGATAGAAACAAATGAAATAGGAACAGAGGTTGGGGGGGGAAAGAGAAAAGAAACAAAAAGACAAAGGGCGGTAGAACCTCAAAAAGGGATGTAACAGTAGTTCCCAAGTTATCATCTATTACTGTTGCTATGGACGTTGTGCTTATCTTGTATATATTTCGGTTTTGGCATATTTTGACGAGGGAAAGTTGAGCACCTCCTTAACTGCCTCTCTGAAAAACCACAATACGGAACCAAAACCGTGACTGAACAGAAACCTCCCCCAATAAATTATAAATTTAAGAGGATTGTTTCCTTTGACTCTATGGCTTTAAGAGGACTTTTCCCCTTAATATACCTGTGCTTCTAACAATCACTGTGGCACAATATACATTTAACAGTTGTTTATAATTTATTGTTGCTTTTTCTGTTCACTCACAGTTTTGGTTCTTTACTGCTGTCTTGCTTGTGACGTCTCCTTTTGTTTTTGGGTTCTCTGAAAAACCAGCCAACCAATGTATGTATTTAAGTATTTATATTCCACCTTTTCTCTTGGCTTGGAAGGAGGGTGCTATTGTTTAGCCTCAACTGGTTGGATATTGTCCCAGTTTGTAAAAACAGTACCTCTGTAGGCCCACTGTGTGCCACAGACCAGGAACAGGGCTCTAATGGTCAAAGAGGAACTCATGCAGCACTTAGCAGTCGGCTTTTGCCAAAGTAAATCTTAGTTCTTAATATGCCACAAGGCTCCCATGGTTTTGAAAACTACAACTGCCCTACAGGCACAGACAATTTCTTTTTATTACTTACTGTTGTCCTTTCACCCAAGGAGTTCAGCATAGCATCTGCCAAGGCTTATTCTACCCCCCACCCTGAGCAGCCTGCCCCTCATCCAAAATGTTCTGTAACCTAAAGGAGACAGGCAACAGAGAACAAACAGAAAGATACAGAGAGAAAGAAAGGAACAGAAAATAAAGGGTGAGAATGGGGAAAGAGAGACAGAGAAGTTGGGGAAATGAGAAAGGGAGAAAAACCATGAGACTTCTTTCTCCCTCTAAAAAAGTATAACTGAGGGGCTGAGCACCCCCATCCCCTAAATTCTTTCTGCTGACTAAGACGCGTCTGGGTCATATATCTTTACTGTTATGGTAAACCCAGGGATCAGCAGAAGCTCTTCACAAAATGGCTGCTCCCAAAGCTATTGCTTTTATTAAGGAACTTGTGCACTATTCACCACACACACTGTCTGGAATAAGGTCCAGGTCACAAAGGCAATCATATTGATATATGGACAACCGTCCTTCAGCTTGTCTGGAGGCCTTGGGCCTCTCGGCCTACCTGCTTCCGTATGCAAAAGCCTTGCCATCACCTGGGCACAAGAGAGGCCTGGTCTCCACCTGTACAACTCTACCAACTGAAGAGCCTGCATTGAACTGTACCCTTCAGAAGCCCAGTCCTCCTTCCAACTGCAGAGCTAGCTCTTGAACAGGTGAAGGTCAGAGTTGATGAAGGCAAAACACACAGCCTGAAGGATCCTGGGAAATGTAGTACGGCACCCAGAGGCCAGCTCTGTGCTGCCGCTTTGATGAAGACGAGACAGAAGGCCGGCTAAGGAAGGAGCCTTCACTAAAAGCTGCACTCTGTAGGGATGCCAGCCTCCAGGTGGGACATGGGGATCCCCTGGAATTACAGCTCATCTCCAGACTACAGAGATGAGTCCAGGCTACAGAGATCAGTCCCTCTGGAGAAAATGGATGCTTTGGAGGGTGGACCCTGTTGCATCGTACACCACTGAGCTCCCCATCCTCGAATCTCCAGGAGCTCCTAAACCTAGATCTGGCAATCCTACCCCCTTTCCTCTACCA